GGAGGCCAGTTCCATGACTAATAGACAATTATAGAGCGTTAGCTCACCCCCCAAATCCACAAGATCCTACTGCCTGCTTTAACCAAGGCGTCTGGTCGGGGTCAGCTCTCAGCCTCTAGTATCCTCTCTGGCTGCGGCTGGGGTTGCAGTGAGGAGGCACCTGTTTTGTTCACCACGTGTTTGTCTGCTGTGTCCCCACTGTAAGATCCTCCCACTGGTATTAATGATGCTATAAGACTCAAACAGCCTATGGACTGGCCGAAACTTCAGGCATCCAGGATTCACTTAGCACTTAAAAAAATTTATCTTGTGTATATGCATGTGTGTGTCTGTGTATGTGTGTGGGCATGCACATGCCATAGTGCGTGTGTGGAGGTCAGTGGACAACTTGTGGGAGTTGGTTTTCTCCATCTACCATGTGGGTCCCAGGGACCTAACTTTGGTCGTGAACTCAGTGCCTTCCTCACTGAGCCGTCTCACCAGCCCTAGCACATTTTTAAGAATACCTCCTTCCACCAAACTCCAATACTCTTTTCTCTACACCTGTCATAGATTGAAATAAAACTCTGTGGGTCTTTAGAATTGACCTTAAACATATAACGGTCCAAGGTCTTCATGATGCTCAACTGTGGGTCACACAGCATTCCAAGCGGAGGGTGACTTGACGCTGCTCCTGCGGCCTCGCCTTCTCTTTCAGGCTTGGGACTCCTGGTCTTATTCTGAGGCAACCAACTGCAAACAACGTGACCATGAAGGCAGAGGAGTGGAGGGCTGTGTGTCACCGTCTGCACGATCATGTCTGCCGTCAGTGACAGTTACCCTCCTTGTCTCTTGCCTTAGTGCCATATGGGGCCTGGGTTTGTACCCAGCACAGGGGCAGAGTCCCCTGGCCGTAGGCCCAGCAGCTCTGAGGATGCTCACCCTGCTGTTGGTTTGCTCCTGTTGCTGGTTTGATCTACGAAGCAAAGCAGAGTTGTTGAACTCAGTGCTCTACTGAAATGATTCTCAGTGGGAGCTGGAAAGAGGTCTGGGTTTCATCCTAAGCTGCCCTTCCTGAGGAACTTTTCCGCTAATTCACCCCTGCTAAAATTTAAATAGCTAGAGCAACTGACATAAAGCACTATTTGTGAAGCCGTAGCCCAACCTGTGCAAGGAACTGTAGCTGAATGCTATTTTCCCGACAAAAAGCAGGTGGAGCGGCAACTCCCTTGAAAATACATTGAGCTGTAAACACGTGTGCCCACCCAGATGGCAAACGCACGGTGGTATGTGACATCCAGCCGCAGTGGTTCCCAAGGAGCCCTGCCTGGAGTGCAGATGACCCCTGTCTTTCCCCCGCTCTGGTGACCAGCAATGTCTGCGTAGTGCAATGAGTATTTTATTTCACATGCTCATAGCCTCTAATCATCCCATTCCTCCAACGATTTAACAAGAATTCTGGTATTATTAACTGTGAACATGATTTACAAGACATTTTGTGGGCTCAGTAGTTACTTTTGAAACTCATGACAGAATTTCAATTCAAGGATCTATGCATGCCAGATATGCACTGGCTTCCATGAACCTGTATATCATTCAAAGATTGATATGTACATATCTGTATTATGATTTATCAATATGCAAATGGCATAAATATAGCCCATGTATAGAATCCACATACTGAAAATTTCTGTGTAATTTACATATAGCCACTTAGAGATTATTTAATTGATGCATTATATAATATTATACAATTCTCCTATAATTAATCTATTTTAATAGGTTAATTAATTAATTAATTAATTAATGTATTTTTTTGTGTCTTTTTGAAGCAGGGACTCCCTGTAGCCCCAGCTGTCCTAGAACTCACTATGTAGACCAGGCTGGCCTTGAACTCACAGAGATTCACCTGCCTCTGCCTCCCAAGTGCTGGGACTATAATTAATGTATTTTAATAGATTATTTTTAATTAAATACATTTATTTGATAGATACTTTAAACAAGCAAAGATATTTATCTCTTATCACTTTCTTATACTTCTAGGGATCTCATCTTGTATTTGAAATTTTCATACTAATTCCAATAATTTTCTTATGGTGAAGTATCAGCATTCTTTACATGATAGATAGATAGATGATAGATAGTAGATATAGATAGATAGATAGATAGATAGATAGATGATAGATAGATAAGTAGATAGATGATAGATAGATGACAGATAGATAATAAATGATAGATATAGATGATAGATGGTAGATAGATGATAGATAGATGATAAGCAGACAGATGATAGATTATAGATAGATAGATGATAGATAGATGATAGATAGATGATAGATAGATAGATGATAGATAGAATAGGATGGAAAGATAGAGAACTGTAGATAAATAGTAAGTATAGAAACATGGATGATAGACAGATGGTAGATAGACAATAGATAATTAGATGGACAATGACATGCCTGCCTCCAAACACACATTTTCTATGATACATTCATTCATGCTTATAAGTCTAAGAAGACAACTTATTTACAGGAATCCGCTTTGTGTTGCCGCTGAGCACCTCCACAGTTAAGCCCTGCTCCCTGCTCTGAGTCTCTCCCTGCATGATGATCTGTTGGTGCAGAGTGTCTTAATATCCAGTAGGACATGGATGGCATGTGCCTCTTAGGAAGTTCCCTGGCCAAGCAGGAGGGAGGGGATGGGTGTGGGCTACTCCTGCAAGACCTCCCAGGGGGCTACAGCTTTTGTTATAGAATAGAAAAAAACAGCTTCAGGAAATACTCTCAATTAAACACATAACTGCAGGTAGCAGGTTGTAGCTAGTGTTTGTTTAGTTGAGCTCTTACCCTGCCATGGCTTTAAATGACCTTCATTTTTACAGCAGTATGAAGGGGATGTACTCGTCATTCAAACCAAAAATTTGAGCTTTGACACAGAGTTGTCCAAACTTTCTTAAGTTACATTAACATGTGGCAGAAATATTGCCCTGTGTGTTCATAACTCTGTGTGTTAGACAAGCCATACAACATCAACACCAACTTAAATCATGTGTATACACCAGCTGTGTGCATTTTCTGACAATATAACTCATAAGAACTGAGGAATGAGATGACTGACTTGTATGATATCTCCAGTATTAGCTTTCTATACCCACTCAGCATTACCAGCTTCTCAAACCTGTGGGATGGCTCAGTGGGTAAAGGCGACGGCTGCCAAGCCTGACGACCTGGGTTCGATCCCCAGAACTCACATGTAGAAAGAAAGAACTGACTCCTGCAACATCCACATACACCGTGATATGTGTGCCCACATACACATGCACACGTGCACACACAAAACAAATAAAGTAACAAAAAAGTCAGAGTTTTGCTAGAGAGCCCTCTTTCGAAATATTCTCTCAATGTTCTAGATTCTCAAAGTTTTAACCTTTTAAAAAAACATATTCTTAACCTTTATAATGCTGTTTTGACAAAAGATGGTGCGTTTTACTGAGATGGTGACTCCTTTAGATGTGAGGTCATACTTGTGTTCCTGACATAATAGTTGTAGCTCTTAACAGACTCTGAGATAGCCGACTAGTTAGAGTTGAATGTGATCCTACCTCGTATGGCCTGGTCATCCAGCTGAGCAGAGGGGAATGCCCCATCTTACTTGGGAATTCTCAGGGCTCTTTCCAGTCAGGGATCTGACCTTGGCAGTGAGCCTGACGTATCTCAGAGACACCAACATGGTTATGGTTCTTTAAGCTGAAGGACCGAGTCCTCTGCTGCCCGCCCCAGAAGAAAGCATTTGGTATTTCCCTGATGCTTTTATATTGCACCAAAGGCTGTGGCAATATGTGTCACTTGGAAAATATTGTACCTCTGCCATGCATTTGTGGGAAACTATAAACCCAGGTAGAAGGTCTATGAGAGGTCATGTCTAGGGCTGTAAATGTCAGGAAGTGGCTGACGATTATCCCCATGCCCTAGGACTAAGCCAAGAGTGGGATGGGAATTATTACTTTGCGTATTAGGATTATTTTTATGGAAAAGAGGAAGAAGTCTCACCACATGCCCATGCAAGAAGAATCGAGGTCACACTTTCATTTCACACTGAGGACACTGGGTTAGGCTGCTACCTAGCACAGAAGCTACTCACACCGTGGCTGCGTCCATTTACACTGAAAGGCTCTGGCAGCTCCGAGGTGTTCACTTAGGTGAACTTGCGATTTGTTCCCTTGCATGTCCTGTGTGGACTTGTTGGGTCTTTCTCTATTATCTGTCCCCTTACCTGCATCTACAACAAGTTCTTGATTAATTTTTAAATCTAAAAACTACACTTACATGGTATGTTTAAAAATAAGACACATCGTTATGTCACAAGCTTCAAACATGCCCACTATCCTAAGATATGCAGTGGTTGGAGAGCCTAGAAAACGCAGTGATCTGGGAGCAGGACCACGTGTGCTAACGTTCAGCATAGTTCTGGATGCCCAGGACAAACACCAGCCCCCTTCTCCAGGAGAAGCAGCCGAAGGCAGAGGTCAGGAGCACTGCTCAGTTTCTCACGACTCCCAGGGCCCTTTCATTGTTCAGGTACGGTGAGAAGCACAGACCTTTAATTTCAAATACTTAGGTCTGCTCACAAAGCCCACAAAAGAACATCGATTCAGGCACTTTACACTGTCCCTTTTGTTTAAATGTTGAAATGTAAAAACCTAATAAATTTAAAAATATCGACCAATGTGATATTGCCACAAGACCCACAGCCCACCACGCCTCATAGCTCACATTTGACATTTCCTCTCATTTTGTATATGAGGAGGCCATGCATCACAGCAAGTCAGGCTTTCTAGTAAACATTCTCATTCCCCAAACACGGCCTGTTGGTAGGGCAATAGGCCAGTTGCAAACCACAATTCTCATTTATAAATGGTGTTCCAGCCTGGTTTTTCATTTATCTCTGTCACACGCAGAATGGCCTCTGCCCTTTCTAGAGTCTCCAGTTGAAACCCTGAAGAGCTTCCGTCGGCCTACCTTGGTACACGGCTTTGAACCCAGGGGAGGCGATGCTATCGTCAGACTGCAGGTGGAGCCACATCTGATTGCTCATGCTCACAATGAGGTCAGGAACGCTGGAGCCGGTGAGCCTGCATAGGACAGAAAGGGTCAGACCAGCACTGAAAACAGCAGGTACACTGACTTTATCTCAGGTGAATCTCGCTGCCTTGGACAACCAAATATAGAATATATCTGCTATTCTTCAAGGAAATCTCCAGCAGCTTTTCATTCATATTAATATTTAAACAGCTATATCACTGATATTTTGTGGTAAGTGTCCAATCACATGTTTTTCATTTTAAAAATCAGCTACAGTGAGTAACCATCCCATATGCCTGAACTGAGCTTCCCAGGGGCAGGACTTAGAGCACTAAAAAGGTACGAACATATCCAAACAGGGAGAGTTGGACATATATGAAGGGAAATTTGGTCATACATGTGACAGGGAGTCAAGCGTTGTGACTGTAGTCTCATGACTTAGCTCCATCAAAGGGAACTGGTTTCAAGGTGGAAACTCTACAAGTTGATTCACTAAGTGCTTGGGGCACCTACTCTAGAATCATCACACACCCTCACCACAAAATCCCTTAAAACGTACTATAGGTAATCATACGTTATTCGCAGCTGAAACAGACTTGGAAGCAATTATTGAACTTCCTCTGCATATTAACATCCAGGTTAAACCAGATGGAAGTTTCCACGAAGAACTCAATGTACATCACAAATCAGTCACAGCCCCTGTGTTGGCGGCCGGTAAAAAGAAACACTAATTCCATTGACCGAACTCAACATACTGACAGAAAAGCGTGTTGAAATAGGAAAAGTGCAGGAAAGAAATCAATTCAAACAAAACAAATGTCCCTAATCAAATAGGAAGCTTTGCTTTCAGCAGAATGGTTCCAGGAATGTGAACACACGATTTACTCCATCAATCACAGCATCTGTCTATCAACCCAACGTTCTCATCACGGCATCCAATACCTGCATCTTCTCACGAAGATGAATGGTGGTCATTACATGCCACGTAACTTGGGCCATGTTACACTCAGATTGGAAAAGGACTGTGTTCTAGTGAGTGCTGTGTGCTTGCTGCACACGTGTGGCTGGACTTGGTCCTTGTTGGACGATTGCTCTTTGCATTTGCTTGTTTGATTGCAAGAGAGATTTGTTTGCTTTTCTGTACATGCATATTGTTGAGGTGTAACAAGCCAAATGGCACATGGATGACAATGCCAAGCTCTGCGGCATCTTAGAAAGTGAGCTAGCACCCAGGTTCCCTCTGAGAGAATCACTAGACCCTAGCTACCTCTTGATTCTGTCCCTTCTCCCTGCCCTTCCCTCCTGCTTTGCTCAAATAACCACAGTTGCATCTGCTTTTACAAAGCATTCTGTAAGTGAAATCATACTTTGTAAAACACTTTTCTCAATAAGATTTGGGCGGATGTTACTTATGAATTTCTTTGCTTTAATTTCTACCTAGAATTCATTTTATATGCATATATAAGAGGTGATTAGTCTTAGTATGTTTTAATATTTTCCTAAGAAAATATGACATTTGTGTTGGACAGCTTTCATTGTCAACTTGACACAGCTGGGTAGAGGCTACCTTAACTGAGGAACTGTTTCCATTGGACTGGCCTGTAGTCAGGTCTGTGGGACATTTCCTCGGTTGTCTGGTGTGGGAAGGCCTAGTCTATGGTGGGCAGGTTTTCTTGTGTTGTATAAGAAAGCAGGTTTGTGCTCCAGGTTCCTGCCTTGACTTTCCTTGACGATGAACTGTGCTGTAAGCCACATAAACCCTTTCATCCCCAAGTTGGTTTTGGTGAGTGTTTTATTAAAGCAATAGCCGTCTGACTAAGACAACATTTAATGAGGTTGTCAGAATTAGCATGAAGAGACCATATGTACTTTTCCCATTGTGATAATACTAGCATTTTAAAGTCGATAAATATTGTTTTAGCCTGGATGTGATTGACCTGTCTTGTACAAGTCCTCCCCCGCCACATGTATATGTGATATATGGTTTATGTGTCTGTGTGTACCTCTCTACATCACATATGTAGCCTTGGGAATCCACACTGCTGTTAATACAGTACACGTCCATCAAATTCCTCACTGTGCCTCTTAAAGTCACCTGAGCACCCTCTTGCTGCTGGCACCACTAGCCTGTCCCTAGCCCTGTATTTCTTCATTAATGTTATTAAGTAAATGAACTCACAGCTGGCCTTTGGGACTGGCTCTATCTATGTGACTTAATTCCAGAGAGCAGCCTTGTGCTTCTCACCATCAGCTTGTCCCACCCTGGCTGAGCAGAACTCATGCAGCAGATACTCCACTGCCCCTCAAGTGCTCCCTGCTTTGGTAGGTGACCCACAAAGCTGGGGTAACCTTGACGTGCAGCGTTTCCCAGAACAAAGACCTCTCATTGTTTGATAAAATTTCTCAAGAATACAATTGTTTTTTTCTAAAGGAAGCACCAACCGGTCTTCAGGGCGAGTGGACCATCTGTATTCCTTACCTTGCCTGTAGTTACTTCCATCCTTAGTTTCATGACCCTTTTGAACTTTTCACAATATACGTTTTAATTATACTAAGATAGCTAACTGTTAATCAGTAATCACAAATATTTTGGCATTTTACTGCATATTTGTCAGTCCATGAAATATAAAAGAATCAAATTTCATAGTTTTCCATTTCATTCTTCATTTTTTTTGTTTTTATTTTTTTTAAGCATAACTCATTTTTATTGATTTCTTTGTATTTCAGACAGAACATCCCAAACAATCTTATTCATCTTTATACCCACATCCCAAATGGCACCCTCCCATAGCCCCCTCCACCCCCTCACTGAAGCCCACATACTCGGTCATCCCTGTTACTGTCCACTGTGTTGTCAGTGCCCCCAGCCGTTCCCCAGTGCAAGTCCATCCTATGCGTCTAGTCAGCCTATCTAGAGTTCCTTGGGAGCTGTACCTTCTTGAAATCGTCTTAAAAATCGAGTCGTATGCATATATTTATGTATTTATTATTTATCGTGTATGGGTCTGTGCATGTGGCAGCATTTGTGTGGAGGTCAGAGGAAGCTTGAGGGAGTTGGTCCTCCCGCTCCACAATGTAGATCAAACTCCCAGGATCAAACTCAGGTCATCAGGCTTGGTGGTAAGTGCCTTTACCAGCTATGCAGGCTCACTACCGTCCCCCAGGTTCTTATAGACTTCAAATACTTCATAAAGGTTCTAGGTTGTCATCTAAGGAAGCATGTGATGGTTTTCTTCTCATTACTCATTTCATAATTGTTTAGGTCAGCGTTCAAAACCAGGTCTTTAGGGCATCTTCCTGACGTGTAGTCTTATGCTTCCCCACCCCCAATGCTAAACAGTCTCTAATATGAAGTATTTTATTTTTCTACAATTATAAACATTTGGGTATTTTCTTGAAAAATTACTTCTGGCCATTTACAACTTGGTGAGAGAAAAGTCTCCGTCTAGTCATATGTAGGAATGGTTTTTACAAACTGGTCAGAATCTAAACTAATGATTTTAATTAACCTTGTAACCCATACACCACTGAGCCACGTGCTCTTGTGATCTGGGCGCTTGATCTTGATCCCATGGATGTGATTTTGCTCTAACTAGTGAATGAACGTGGGTGTGGTTGAATTAGTAAATCAAAGCATTGATTTATATTTATATCTTCATTGAAAACAATGAAAATTTACAAGAATATTTGACTTCGTATGTATGAGATGTTTTAGGCCTAGTGATGAAAGGGCAGGATTGTCCGAGCACCAAGGTGGAGCCGAGTCTGTAGTTCCCTAGTTGATGCTTGAGAAAGTTTTGAATAAAAAGTTTCGGTTAAGACCTGGCTCTGGAGCACAGTGCCAGGCCACGTCTGGAGGAAAGGGTGCTCTGAGTTCTAGTCCACTCCATAAAGCTAAAGTTAAGAGTTGGGATGTTTAGTGAGGTATAACTGTAATGTTGACATAGTAACAACTCAGTGTTAATCTAAAATATTTATTGAAATGGGCATTGTTGCTTTGAATAAGTTGATTCTGGAAAGGTTTCAAATGCATTTGAGTCAAGTGATTGTTTCCAAGTCAGTTTCAGGGGTTGCGATGTATGGAGCTTGTGATGAGGTTGCTGGGACCCACTGCAGCACAGGACGACACATGCACACAGTCCATACAGTGCCATGGTTGCGCACAGTTTGGTCAACTTTGCGGTGTGCATTTGAGAGTACGTCATTTCCAAATGCCACATCTTGCTGATCTACGTCACTTGTGATTGTCGCATAGTATGTGTTTGGTTCTTCTCACTAGTTCTTGGAGGAAGATCTTCCTGCAGCCCAAACACTGATGAGCCTCTTGTCCTTGTGGGTTTTCATCATCCTCGTCACATAAGGAATCTGTCCCATTTTCCTGACACTCCAGGGAAACCTTCTTTGGCTCTTCCTGTCCTTGTGGAGAAGTCTGTGGCTGCCCGCCCCCCCTTCAGAACACACTGTTCCGTATCTTAGGCTTCTAAGAATTTTCTCATCTCATTGCTCATTAGATTTATTGCAGTGTGCTAGAACGAGGTCTCCTCACATCGAACTGATGGCCCTCGGTAATTACTTAAATGTCTGTTGCCAGTTTTGGAGAGATCTTGGTAAAATCTCTTAAAATGGTACTTAAGTCCCATGTTTTCCTCTTTTACAAACACATTTCTCTGTACACCCCATTTAAACATTTTTCTTTTTCTATTCATTTTTTCAATGTTTCATTAAATACATATGTTTATACATAGATAGATATTAAATAGACGATGATGATAGATAGATAAATGATAGATAGATGATAGATGGATGATAGATGATAGATGGATACATAGTGCTTCAAGTAGCTCTTACTAGTCCAATTGAAATAATAGGTACTCACTTTTTAAATTTTCAGGTATTTATGGGGCTGGAGAGATGGCTCAGCAGTTAAGAGTATTGGCTGCTCTTGCAGAGGACCCAGGTTTGATTCCGAGCACCCACATAGTGGCTAACAACCATCTGTAACTCCAGTTGCAGGGGAATCCAATGCTCTCTTCTGACCTCCATGGGGAAT